GTCAACCCACTTCTATAAATCGAAAGGAGACTGCGACCATAACAGAGGCCACAACACCTTGGTCTTCATATATTCGAGAACTAGGGCCTGGAAAAAGTTTTATTGAGGATATAAAAGTAATTCCAATAAATTAATGTAAAATAACAATAAAACTTGCCTCATGGCTGTAGCTGACACCAGGTACTAGTCCTGCACCTCCGACAAGTCCAGAGGCGAGGTTGTCAACTATGTTACCATAAAGATTTGGCATTACCATAACATCAAATTGTTGAGGCCGACTCACTAGTTGCATGCAACAGTTATCAATTATCATCGACTCGAATTGTATGCGTGGATACAACTTTGACATTATAGTGCAAGTTTCTAGGAAAAGACCATCACTAAGCTTCCTTAAGAAAAAAACAATAGTATGATAAGAATTGTATAACAAGGGTAAGTATTAATAGATCAAAACAATTAAATAATGTGAATTACATAATATTGGCTTTATGGATGCAAGTGACTTTCTTGCGATTCGTTCGAGTAGCATAATCAAAAGCAAATTTCGCTATGCGTTCAGAATTTTTACGAGAAATTATTTTTAAAGATTCAACTACTCCGGGTACAGATTGATGCTCTAGAGAAGAATATTCTCCTTCAATTTGTTCCCGAATGATGACAAAATCTAGGTCGTCGTGACGGGTTTGAATGCCAGGAAAGGAACGTATATGAACTACATTCGCATATAGGTCTAATATTCTTCTAAAAAATAAGATAATTTGTGTTTAAAAATATAATAATCGAGACAACAACCTGAGACGGATGTTGACAGTTTGCAAATCTTGTGCGCCAACTGGAGTTCCAATAATACCCTTGAGACATACTCTATTTTTCTTAAGAGAAGTAACAACATCTTTAAGTTCACTAGTTGGTGCCCCTGGCATCTCACTAAAGTTCTATTCAAACAGTAAGACCAACCTAATTGGGACCTCTTCGAAATCTATGGGGATATTTGACAATTTCACAAGATTTTTCACAGATACGAAAATTTCCGGCCATACACCATCTCCCGGTATAAGAGTGACGGTCTTTCGAACATTCGACATAAGTCGAACAGGAACCTCGGGATAATAATGAATTTGAATACCTTATAAAAGATTTCAGGACGAACTTTGCTATCTGGTATACATACCGGTCTCAATTTCTGGAGAAATTTAAATGTAAAATAATATATGTAACCTTTGTTAAGGAGGGTAAGAAAGACCTGATCATTATTATTAATAACTAAAGTTTAGGCGGTTTAAAATAACGGGGCGACTATGGAATACTTAAAAGCCCATTCTATGAAAGTCCAAGCACCTAGGCTAAATATATATAGTTAATGGATAAATAATTAAATATTTATGCAGTAAAGTAAGTTTATAAAGTTAATTTAATTGATTTACTAAATTAAAAACTTGTCAAAGAAACAAATTATTTCCTTCTCTTGGCCAGTGATGTGTTAAGCACATCTGTATTTTCCCTCATTATATATCAATAAGCTTTATCCTGTACACTCACTTTCTATGTATTGATGTTTATATCTTATTTATACATATTTATTTTAGAGAACCTCTAGGTTAAACAGAGTTAATTAGAGCGTAATCAACTTACTCGCTGATTTCCTTATCTTTTGGGTTAGATTAGCCGAGCTCACTCAGGCTTTCCGGAGTGCAAACAACTAAACTCTAATTTTACTATATTATTCTGCGTGTCCGCTACTTATCTTAACGCGTGAGATGAATGTCCGCAGCCGTCATTCAAAAGGCTATTTTCCAATAATGCGTCTAGCGTGTAAATGGATTTCCAAAGTACCTTTATATTGCAATACTCCTGACTCATAATGATCAGGCTTGTTAATCCTTCAAGTAACCACTATATAGCGGTTGAAAATTATATCAAATGCTTTTATGACCTATGGGACTGGGCTCACTGCAATGGATTTTTTAAACTGTCACTTTCCTTTGGGACTATTAA